CCCCTATTCCCCTAGAGGCAATGGGTGACCTGGGGTAACAAAATTAACAAATTTGATAAATCACCTTAGGACCTTTCCATTCATGACGATGATTTGGTTTCCAGCCAATATGGGTCTTAAAAAGAAGATTGTTGAAATTCTTGCCAATGTGTCCCTTTTTGGCTCCGTCCTTTGGCCCTGGGTGTGAGTCAGGGTATGAATTTTCATATCATCAAATTAATTCACATGATGACAAATATAACCAAGCTGGAATTACGAACAACCGAAAATAAATAAAAATATACCCAGAAGTGATATTTTTCTATATAAACTATAGTCAATATTTTTTCTCATCCTTCCCCTGGGGGGCAATGGGGAACCTGGTGGTAACAAAATTAACAAATTTGATAAAGCTACTTAGGACCCTTCCATAGAAGGAGATAATTTGATCCCAGCAAATCAGGGTCTTGAAAAGAAGACTGTTGAAATTCTTGCCAATTTGGCCCCTTCTGGTCCCGTCCTCAGGCCCTCGGGGTGAGTCAGGGTATGGAATTTTCTACCATAAAATACAGATGATTCACATCTTTGGTTTGCCTTTGGCTTTGGTATCTTTATGCAAAATTGAATCGAAATTGGTTCAGTGGCTTCGGAGAAGCCAAAAAAAGGTAAAACGTTTGCGCACGACGGACGTGGGGAGGGGTTCTTGAAGCCCAAAAAAACCCTTAGGATCCGCTACTGAGCTCAGATGAGCAATCATGCGAGCTAAAATTCAGGAAGGGTATTTGGAAGAAAAAAAAACATATGCATTCAAAAATGTTGGCGAGTGAACAGAGTTTCAAGATACATACTGTGACTCTTGTACTGTATGTAGAGTTGGCCTCTTTGTTGCCAGCACAACTACATTCGATCCAGTTGATGGGAGATGCATGTCCGCCCCTTCACCCAGAGCTTCACAGAAAAGTCCCGGATTGCGCCATCTTGAGGGCGTAGAACTTTCCTTTTTGAAGATTCCGTTGTTGGGACATCTTATGTCTATGAAATGAAATAGATTGGTATTTATATTGTAGTGAAGATGTTGGACACGAGGATGCACATATACAACTAGAAATTTGTTTCTATAAACAAAAACATATGTCTCCCCTTATAAGCCAGTATGCATATTTGGAAGGATAGAAATGTCACCTCAAGATTAAGGTGTGTAAACTTTAAACCATTAAACTTTTAAATTAATCTGGTTCATGTTTAATTGTCTTAACAATTTTGGTTAAGTTTCGGCAGTAATGGTACTATAGACACATGTACATGTATATAAAAATAGGAATTTTCACACATCTGATTACAATCTGGTTTATATAGTGAGGAAATAACATGGAAGTTATGCCGTGGACAAACTTCGGTATAAAAAAATAAACAAAGGGCCATAACTCTGTATATAGTGGGGCACGAGACCCGATTTCAGTGGGAGAGATTCTGTTTTCTCAAGATACATAAGTATGGTATGTTTGGTCAACGTTGGTGAAATAACATGGAACTTAGGCTTCGGACAAACTACGTAACGGTATCAAAAATAAACAACGGGCCATAACTCTGTATATACTAGGGCACGAGACTTAATTCCAGTGCACTGCATAACCTCTGTGGATGATGCAGGTATGCTTCAAGTTTGAGCAAGATATCTTTACTGGTTTAAAATTTGCGGGCCGGACAACAATTTACTGATATGTTGCACTTATTTGACCTTTGACCTTGAGGTGAAGGTCACAGTGACCTAATTCCAGTGCACTGCACACATGTGTGTGATGCAGGCATACCTCACGCTTCATCAAGATATCTTAAACGGTTTAAAATGTATGGCCCGGACAAGTTGCGATTAGAAGAACCAGAAGAAGAACCAGTAATAAGAAGGGCGAAGAAGGCGCCCGAGCGAAGCTCTGTAATGGTAACACATACGTGCGTAAACAGAGTTGCTTCCCCTTTCTACACCTTGCCTTTAATATTTTTCAAACCCCCAAGCGGCGCGAAGCGGCGCCGGGGTTTGATCTGTAAACACTTTGTCCACTTCCGTTGCTACCCCATGCGTGAAAGCCTTCTGGGAAATTAAGGCCGCATACTGTCTTCAAAAATATGATAGTAAACTCTACGGTATCTGTAATCATTATAGTTTACTACTGAAATATCATGTATTTTCCATTTGATAAAAACATATCATAATGCAGTAAAGATATACGAAATATTTTATCTTCACATGTGAAGACGTCTTATTATGGTCTAAACTGAACGGTCCATCTATTCTCTGCGTAAGCTTCAAGTTTAGATGAAGCGACGGCAGAATAAGTGGTTGTGTTATCTACCTTTGCAGCATACATTATTGTTTTTACATAACTACACAATTTATATCGTTTTTGTCTGGAAATCTTACCAGATGATAGCAAAACATTCAAAATGGCGCTCTGTATTGTTGTCAAGCGTGACGTCGTAAGAACTTGGTGTCGAAAAATACGCTTTACATTCCCGCGCTTTTCTGATGTAGCAATATTTCCGTGGCGTGACGTGAAAAAAAGTTAGAAATAGAAAATGTCATGGTTTTCCCGTTCAATACGAATTATTCATTTCACTTGTATAAAACGAATATGTGATAACAACCAAAAACCCAGCTTTGTGGCAAAATATGTCTTCGTAATAGTCTTGAAAATTAATAACTATTATTCCGGGATTGACGCTTTAACCAAGAACGCGGTTGATATTTTGGTCAATAGAAATATTTGTAATATAATCGCTGCATCTCTTTCTTAGAAGATGACGTTATAACCTAAGCGTTGACATTTAAACGTGCATTTAAAAATGTACATGTGCGTGCTTTATGACAAATGTTGAGTGACAATAGTGCTAAATGCAAAATTAACACCATTAACAATATATAAAATAATTATAATTAAATAAATTCAAGTATGCAGGATCCGTTACCTCGAGGTTGTTGGACTGTTAGTTAGTCATTTTCATAAAAACAAAATGGTGTCCAGCAGCTTTGCTGGATTTTCTTGTTTCGTCCGGAAGTAGACGTCCAGTGGGGAAACAGGAAGTGTATCCTTGAAGCAAAGACAATTGTGTTTCAAACCATACATGAACATCTTCATATAGTGAAAACAATACCCATGTTTTATTACTTATTTATTTAGGTAAAAACTAATATACATTCTGAGTGAAAAAAATCTATCACATAAGTTTGTATACTAGCAGGCATGAAACGTCGTTCAGAGATTATCATACTATGACGTCACAAGCACGTCACACTCCATCGACCTTCATCGGTTATTTCCGGAAGGATGCATAATAACCGGAAATCTCTTTGTCGGTGCTTCATGACTTTTTAATTTCAGTTTTTGCCACAAGCACAAAAAGTAAAAACGCGGATGTTTTCTGAAGATCCCTTTTGTCATCGACCATGTTCTGTTTAAATTTCTACCGAGAGATATTTTCAAAAAGAGCCGCATTAAACCAATATGTCAACGTGTACATTTATTTTTCGTCGTCTAAAATTTCATCAGCTTTTGATTTCGATTTTTTGTGAATTTGAACGAAATGATTCACATTTTTGAAAGTCTGGTTATAGTCTTTACATAATTTATGTATGCATCACCACTCATAAAAGAAACAATGGATAATTCATTTATGTCGAAATCAACAATAATTTTCCAGACAACGAACCCGAGTTCAACGCCATTTTTCAGCAACGTATCACTTTTTCACAACGCATTCCGATGTGTAACTAATTACAGACAGAAACTGTTTAATTTTATTTGGCATCATTACCTGTCAAGCCTCAGTGACAGTTACAAAACTTGAAATTCAATCCGGTGTTTCAGTATGGAACAGGAATTCAGACTATATATCGATATAACGACAATTTCAGTTACATTAAAGTATTACAATGTTTTCTTTTTTTAATTTCATTTTTTTAACTAACATTTACTTTTATAGACTTATCGTCAAATATGTAATATGCACGTTTTTCTATAGCAATAACAAAACAGTTTTTCCCCAACTTATTTCAATCATTCATTTTGTGACCTGACGGAAGCACGCAGAGGATTTAGTTCTTAATGTGGGAGGAAGCCGGAGTATCCGGAAAAAACCCGCGTGGTCGGGCAGGTAACCGGGATTGAATCCGGTCATTTTGGTGAAGACGAGCGCGCTATCCACTGCGCCACCCGACACATCATATACGTTACGCACAAGAACAAATATCTACTTTAGCTTTGACTGGAAGAAAACGGCGTCATTACTGCAAAGATTATATTGTTAATACATTTTTTCTTATCATCTATGATACAAAAAGTCTCCATACGGGAGACCGGGGCAAGTTCGGCCACCCCTGAATTAATTTTTTGAGCTAATATTTACAACTTTGAGGCTTCACACAAAAAAAGGCGAGGCCAACTCTAAATGTACTGAATTACTAAGCAGGAGAAAATAACTTTTGAGAGGGTAAAGAAAGAAAATCATGATCTCGCTTCTAGTTATGCGAACTTTCTGTAAACGAAATTCACCTGATTGTCATGTCGGTCTTAGGTTTCATTAGAGCTCATGTTTTATTGTTATTCCTCGATTAGCCGACTTTAAATAAAGTTTATCTTATCTTATTCTGAAAGCAGTAGATCTAATTCTGAATCAGTAAAATATGAGAGATCAACAAAAGCTACGCTCTTTTTAGGCTTTGCCTTTTCATATTACAATATGTCTCCCTTCATTCGAAGGGGAGACATTATAAGAGTAATGTAGGGTAGAACAATATACACCCGTCCCATGCCTGTCTGACGTACGTAAAATATGTATGAAAAATTGAAATGTAAGGAGAAGAAACAACATTTACACTGTATTACCAGTCATATTTGAGAAAATTATTGTTCAGAAACTGTCAACCAATCAGAGCAGATTACGCTAATTAAATATTATTAACACACGAAGTTTCAGAAAATTTGAGTAATATTTACGCAAGACATGTTGGGGAAACTAAAGTTAGAAAATTGACCAATCGCGGCACAATTTACTGTGCACAGATAAATTGCCAAGGTTAAATCTTAGCTTCAATCTTTGTATAGTATACAAGCAAGTCATCTTGCGTAAACCAAAGTGTGGATGGACAGACGACGAATGGAAGCTCTCCATACCATAATACCGTCCGTCAAACTTTTGACAGGCGTATAAAAAGTCATGTTATACTTATATTGTATTGTCAGCTCGTCTGATGGATAACCGAACTACTCGGTAGTGAAGCGAAAGTGAAACCTATCAATCAATCAATCAGTATTATATTGTCTACAAATTAGAACTCAAAAATGGTAAGCAGAGGCGCCTCAATGTACCAGATCATTCGCACAATGGGATTCCTGAATGTCTTTGGCGCCTTATTTGGGGTGACGTCATGACTTCAGAAATGCACACTACTGGTGGAGTGAGGAATTCATCCTCCACTGTTTGTGTCAAACTGGAATGGCCCACCTGCCATAATATGTGGAGAGCATAAAACAATTGGTGTAGCAAAAGGCTAAAGGGCCTTTGGATTTTTTTATTTAAATCTGAACATGTTTAATACCAATAAAAATAATATATCTTGGCAGGAAAGACACAAAAGACATAAACGTATCTATTTCGTCATGCCCATCAACTTAAAATATGTGATTATTTCTGGGTGCATCTACTTGGCGGCTATTTCCAACATCTATGCTGCACAGAAGTCGCACATATAAAATGGCCCAGAATTGCTGACTCTCGACACGCTGAACGACACAAGAGGTAATAAAATAGGTCAATTTCATTTAAGTTTGCAGACTTTGTTGAGCTGCATTCCAAGCTGCCAAAAAGTCAATTGATAAGTTGGAAAAGCTTACCGACTAATCCCTTTGTCAATATGTTGTCAATAAAATATGTTTAAACTAAACTAAGCTGCCAACCAAATATTCCGACTCTTAAGCATTACGGTTCAATAGAAGTGGTTTGGCGATGCGGGGCAAAGATAAAATACTACACTCTGAAAAGCTGGTTATTAATGATCACTGGCCAGATATATGTCAATACAGTCCCCTATATCTATCCAATTTAAATTACCGTAGTCTTTTCAGTTGCCCTTAAAAAGTCCCCAACAATGCAATTACTTATTAGACAGAAACTTCCCGGTAGGACTTTCGAGCATACTCGTTGTCGAAAAAGTTACATTGTCCAGAACACCAACGGAAGAGGATGGCGTTTCAAATTTTGACTTTGTAGGTCTTAGGAGCAGTTTGGATTTTCACTTTGTTTTTAACCTGAATGGGAAACAATTTAAATAATGATGTATAAAGGGCGAGTGCGGGCATAATTTATGTTTTGAGAAATGATTGTAACATACGGTGTACTTTAACTGGCAAAGTCCAAATGACAACACTATTTTTTCCCTATTTGCTTCCGAAATCAGAGGCCTATGAGGTCTGTACCAAATTGTCCTTTAATTCATACGGATAACCCTGTTTCGGTACACATTTTATTCCACAAAAAGGCGATTCGTTTGCGAGAGTTGTTTCCCTTAGACCGTGTTTTAAACGTAGCACTGTTGTTCCAATTTGGTCCAAAGACCACAGTTAAAAACATTCATACTTCACAAAGTTTCACCTAGAAATATTAAACGATGAACTTACCAGGAAGCCCTGTAGGGGAAAGCAGCAGGACTCCGTCTGTTCACCTCTGCAGCCAGTGACAGAGTCCCAACTGGCCAGGGGTGGCGGAAAATGGATTAGGTGCACGTGTTAGTAGAGGGAAACGTGCACGTCACGGCACAGGCACCGCTACCTGTGCTGAGGCCCGCTGTAGGTATATATTTCCCCTCTTTGATAAAATGTCTCCAGGTATGGTCTGTACCTTCATACGCTAAACTTTTAATTAGTAAGAATGAATTGAATGAAAAAAACATCATTGTGCTAGCAACATTGTGTTGCATAACTAAAACATACACTCTGTTTTGAACTATATGAAATGTTATGTTTAACCTATAAGTAAATAGTCTAGAGGATGTTACAGAGTTTATTATTTCTATAACCAACTCGTACTTACTTTTATGATAACTAACATTCAGACCTTTACAGGGCTGAGACACAATATTCTACCTTTGTACGGAAGTCACGTCTCACCACACACAGTACAATATACGGTAAGCATGTATATTCATATCAAATATGGTAATAACTCACAAATCTAATTTAACACTAACACTAATCTAATTATTACCACTTTTGCAAGTAGCTTTATAATGATACAGGATATAAGTCAGTAGATTAGGTGCTTGGGAAGGTCCCTTTACCTCAACCGCCTACATCCGATCACTTTAAAAAAAATTATCAGGCTGTTAGTGGCTGGGGAGGTCCCTACCTAACTAGAATACCAAGGACAGGTATATAAGAATAATAATAATAACTGATAATAATTCCAGGTTCTTATTTACCGCTTTATCACAATCTAGTTAGTAGGTCGTCTCAAAGCGGTTAACAAATTATTATCTGTGGTTATAGGGCCTTTGCAACCAGCCAATATCTTTCTCCACTCAACTCCCTGGGGAGCATACAGCCGGTGCAATATGTTTCAATAAAACTAGGATAAGCTACAATTTGTTATAATCACAGCGATAGCAATGCTCGCTGGTCTAGCAAGAACTCTTTACTGTCGTCTCTTTGTATCAGCCCATTAACCCTATCTGTTGGGAGGTCTACGGATTCGTGTAGAACACCTCCCCTCAGGACTAGATGCTATATCCCCATGACGTACATGTATTTCTGGGTTCAATTCCGATACAACTTCAAGTTCCTGTGATACTTCCGGTTCCGATACAACTTCCGGTTCCAGTAAACAGGCACTGTCGGATATGGATTTACCGGATATTTCTGAGAATCATACTGATCTCCTATATCCAGAATGACTACTGAAGCTACATTGTTCCTCTGACGTCTCCTTGGTGGTGGGTTCCGTTTCACCGCTACTGTCCGAAACTATATCCGGACTAGCATCCCTGGAGAAGAAATGATTTGTGATCTTTGGAGATAAATTTCATTTTTGTTTAATTGTAACGACCGTCAAATTTTACTCAATTTTATCCACACACTATTCTTGGAAGACATAGTTATTTAAGTTCAATTATGTAAAAAAATATATTGAATTAGTCTCATGAGTTGAATTTATCAAGGTTATACCTGAGCAAAATAACTCTGCATATAAACATCATTGCATTCTCTACACTGACCAGTCACGTTATTAGAATAACGTCATTGCCATCGTAATTATCATTTAGGACCGACCCTTAGAATGCCTGTCTAATATATACCTCAGTGTAGAATAGAAAACATGGCTATCTGGGAAGGTTTCTTACTACAAAACAACAAATACGTTTAGATATTCCAGTGAAATATACACCCTATGTGTATTTCACTATTGATCGATGTGACATCCGAGGGATTGTGTACACACAGTGACCGAGACCCGCCCCTTCTTGACTCTTCCCACCGTTTACAGTCAGTGATGAATTATCTTTGGTATCAAAGTGTCAAATATTTATTGTTTATTTCTCCAATCAATCTTCAATGTACGATAATAAAGCAGAGGCGACACCATTCTGTCTTATACTGATCAGCTTGACTCAGAGTGAATTTCCAAATTTCCTTTTCCCCCCTTCAAAACATAAATGAAGGTGATATTCTTGAATGTTGCCCACCGAGGTGAATTATAAACCCCGGCACAAGTATCTGTCGGTAATATGTTTGATATGTTTGATATGTTTATTATTAATACATTTTTCGCGAAATTAACAAATTTTATGACATAAAGTTGAGGGATCTTTGTACGGGATACGGGAGGTAGAGGCCAGTAGTATTTGATTACTATGGATCTCATCAAATTGAAGTTTTAGTCCGCCCGTCTTTGCTCTGTCAAATAAAATATGACGGGGGGATTTACCGACTTCTGATTAATGGCGAAAGAGTAGACTGTCATGTATTCTGATAAAGGCCTCGTTACTGAGAAAGTCCTCAATGTTTACTATAAACCCAGACTGTAAATAAACAAGATAATGACAATTTTTATGTAAACACTGAATGCTTGTATATTAATGCAATGTCCTCATTTTAAAATCCTTTCAGGGATGAAATTCTTCCTCTTTTCAGGGGATTTCCTCATGTTTCATTTTAAAGGTTCGTTTTTTCTGAAACATTACAAAAATGGCCTACAAAAATTCAAGTTTCTAGGGGTTGAGTTATGTGTCCCTCTCCGTCCATTTTGTTTTTTCTCTCCTTTTTTCAATCATCAATCACACCACTGCCTATACTGACAATTCATTTTATGTCGCATTTTTGTTTAATAATAATTGTATAAATGAAGCTTATTTATGAATGCAATTGATTGTATGTGGTTAAAAAACATTTTCTGGATACAATCCAAAATTTGTCCTTTTCGAGTCTCTCGTGCTAGCAACGGAACACGCGAGTCTATAATTAAAGGTAGTTAATACAACTGTCGACCTTGGTTCTATTATAAGTCAGATTTATTCTTTCGTATAAATCAAATCATTTCAAAGACAGGAAAGTCGTGTGTGTCCTAGACAGGGCAGAGTATAGGTCTCCGTCTTGTTAGCATACTAACGACACCAATAAACAATTTTCTTCAAGATCATACATATTCAAATCATTTACATATGTATATTTCGTAATGATAAGTCAACATGACCCGTCAAGACGAAAATGTACATTTGTGAAAATGTTTTCCCGGAGATTTATTTATTTTATTTTATTTATTCATTTTAAGATTGTTCAAGCTGACAAATCGTCATTAAATCATCCAGGCAGAGATCATTTTATTTTTTAAATTCCCCATCCAGAAAATAGACTAAATGACCTATTTAACCTTTCACAGAGGACAACAGCACCATTGTGAAAATACAAACTCAACGGTCGTGTGCCTGTATGTAGGGGGGGGGGTTCAAAGGTCGAAGTTCGCGAAAATCCGCGAGGGACAATGCTGGGGATTACTTAGATATGCTAAACATACATATGCGGCCGACAGACACAAAGCACTGATAGGTTATATACTAGAAATATTTCAGATTCAAGGATCGGCAAATTAATCAAAAGGAGATATTTATGAAGCGATAGACAGATTTGATCCCCCTTAATCCCCTTAAACTCCACAAGTCGCGGCCCTCTTTGCCGATAAAAGGCTCTGTCCTCATAATCCGATATTTATAACGATACTGAGCGTCTATATTGATGATGTTATCCATGTACAGATTTTAGTTCAAGATGAATGAAATTCCAATCTATAAACCTGAGACCCGTATTGTCTTGGGCCAATATTGCCTGTTAGCTATACTGATAACGCTGGAGTATAAGTAGGGTACAGATGCCTATCGAGAAAGAGAAACGTAAAATAAATAGACGAATGCAATAATGTTTATAAACGTGAATTAGTATTTTACCTCATGGGTTAATGTTAGACAGCATTCTTTTACATCCAATTTACAAGGATCGAGCTGCAAACATCAAACAAACATTGATACTATATAATGGACAGCAAAAACTACATACTTAAGTATTCTGCAAGCCTGCCTTCCTCGGTTCAAATGACTTTTTAATAAAGAGGCTTATTTCCTGCAAAAGCTGTGGGTCCTTAAGATGACAATAATAATATTAAATTTTGTAGATCAGGCAATTATGGGTAAATTTTAATTTTTTGGAGAAACGTAGTCCTGATATTTAAATTTATTTTGCATTTAAATATAAAATGTAATTCATCTTCTACAGTATTGCAGAATTTACATAGTCGGGATTGTCGAGGAATCTTTTTAGATCTACCAGCCTCAATTTCTAAATTGTGGTTGCTTAGTCTCAGCTTTGCCATCAATTTTCTATATTCAATGTTGGGTAAGGATAGGTAATGTTCCTCTGCATACTTTTTTTTATTTTACTGTATAGAAATAACTTACTATTTTCGTCCAAACTATGCATTTTTCCAAAAAAGTAAAATTCAAATTTAGCATGTATCGGCTTTTTAAACAAAATTTTCATTTTCATTTTCATTCTTGCAAAGAATGGGTCGTGGTGCATTCTAAACATATAGAAGCTAGGACTAATAGTATATTTAACTGTTTTTTGATAATTTTTTATATCTAAATGCATCAAATGATTAAAAGTCACTAAAATAAACTTAAAGTTAATGGCTCTCTAGACTCTTTAAAAGTTAAGTCTGCAATGTCGCTGTGCATAGAACATATCAATGCAGTATACAAATGGTATGAGGCTCCACGCGGATTTTGGATAGGAATTTCCCCATACTTACCAAATGTCTCGATGACGATTCACGATTTTTTACCCTAAATTGAGCATCTTTCAACAAGTGATTAAACTATTCTTATTTTCTAAGATCTGATGAATTCATCCAAAGGAACAAGTCAAAAGATGTCAAAGTGTTGTTTTCCACAAGAGTGTACATGCATACATTTCATTGATGCTTTTTATTCCTATAACACATAATATCCCCGATGGAAATTTCAGAAAAGCTTACAAGAGTGATTGCGCAGGTAAAGGTAACCGTTACATACCTTTACTTACAAACGTAACACCTGTGACATTCTACTCGGGATCGTAACCTACAAGTATGATGTCACACTTCACACCAGAACTGCCATTCATAGATTACATTACATAACCCCTGTATGTTTATTTCTACAGTTATGCTCGTTTTATTTATACATCTTCACTAGTCGGGAGATAAAAAGGTCCGCGAAAAGGGGCCGGCGTAATGGCTAGGACAACAAACCCATCTGGGGTCCCTTAGAA